TTGAAGCCTCACGCCCCATTGTCGACGGGCGTCTGGCGAGGTCCCAGTCGGACAAGTCGCTGCTTCTTGCCTCCTCCCTCCCTGCTCCCCACCACTCCTTGCCTTTCCTCCTCCTCCCTGCCCCTCACCTCCTCTCCCTTCTTCCTCACTCCCCCTCTCTTTCCCTCCCCCCAGCCTTTTCTCTTTTTCCCATTTCTCCCTTTTCCCTCCTCCTGCTTCCTCTTCTTCATCATGGAGACTTGACTGCAGCCGGCTCCACAGAAGAGCCATCGGAGTGCTGGACCCAAACATCATCTCAGTCTCCACTGTGCATCCCTCGGGGCATGAAGAAGCACCTGCAGTCAGAGCTGGAGGGAGGGAAGGGTCAGCTGAGCGGCCCTGGGCACTGTTGTAGCAATGACCTTCCTCATCTCTGCCATGAGGAGCCGGTGAACTCAGTTTTCCAGGTGCCACCACTAACATGGCCAGGAAACCTCACCTGGTTGACCCACGGCAGCCCCCTCCAGCGCGGCTGGGTGCTTGCTGCCCGCGGCTAGGTGCCGGCCGGCCCGCTAGAAGATTTAGCTGACCAGAGGCTCAGTATTACATCTGCCGCTTTCTAGTTACTAAACAGATCACGTGGCTCGACCAAAGGGCGGGAAGTGCACTGTCCCGTGCCTGGAGGCAGCTGTGACGTTTTGGACCCACATGTGACATCTCCCGCTCCAGCTGCAAGTTCGTCCACATACTCAGTCTGGTATAGTTTACGGCCTCCGGTTTTTGTTAAGTGAATTCCAAAACGCAGAGCTCAGAATTGCCCAGCTCCTCGGAGAGATAAGTACACCCCATGCATCCTAATATTCTCCTTGTGATTTATGGAGAAAGTCCAGAAGAGCCACAAAGAGCTTACGTCATTCTCCACCAGGAAACGGTGACCCTTTGTGCCCTGGATGGACGAGAAGAGTATTTTAGGTAATTAGACATTTGAAGAACTTGAAAGCAAAAATCATTTTTATTTTATTTTGGTTTTAAAATATTTTTTGGCATATATAGAAAAAAGATGCTTTTTGAAAACCGTGCTGGAAGAGATGTGGGTGGAGGAGACGCCAAATGAAATGAACCATGTAGAAATGCTGCTTGAGCTAAATCTGAAACCTGAAGAATCCAAACAAAACCTTTGCATGCTAGCTGGCTGCACACCCGCGGGCTCGTCCAGAGAGTCTCTCTGATAGAGATGATCTCTAAGGAACCTTCTGACTCTGCTTTACAGGAGGGAGTAATTCTGGCCCAGAGGCTGTTTTGGTGTTTGGGGATTATTTTGGGAAGCTCAGCTGGTTAGTGGCAAAGTCAGGACTAGAACCTACACAATCAAGTCCCCCATCCCATCCAACATTTTTTCCTAACTGAATGCTGTTTCCATGAAAGGTGAGCTATTCCAGGCCCCAGCCCCGGGGCGATACCCGCAGAGCTGAGGGAGGAAGTCAATTTCTGTGCTGCAAAATACTAGTCATGCATCAGAATGGGCCGTGGAGTAGGAGAGGACACCCTCAGTTCTCTTGAAGACACCCCATTTTGCCAAGGCGTTTTCCAGGATGTGTGGCTATTGCTGCCCGATCGGCTGTTGGTCGGGCCTGTCTACATTTTCTCCTAAGTAGGTGACAACATTTTCCTTGGTGGAAAGTGCATTAGGTAATGATATTTTTCCTGTGCACTCATCAACAACGCCGCCGCTGTCCAAGACGCGGCTGTGGGTTAATGCATGTTCTGTCAGTGGGGGCGCAGGCCCGCCTCTCCCCGTCACCCCGTGTTGATTTTCAGCTACTGAAACTACTCTTTGTGTTGCTGAATGACTACTAACCATATTTGACAAAAAGAATGTTCTCCATGTTCTGGTAAGGAAATCCCCTGTCAAGATAAACAGCTCTTACCCGCTTCTTCTCCAACCTGGTCTTGCCAGGAAGGCCTAAATAGGGCCTCTGTAGTCGTTTTCGTTTTAGTATTTCACACCGGGGTGCAGTGACAAACGCTAAGCCAGGAAGGCAGGCTTTTGCTGAAAGGCCACAGAACCCACTAATGGGGAGCTATTTTAGGTTGGGGTGTCCTGGTTCAGGCCTCTTTAGGCATTTTGTGTCTAGGGAGATATCCTTTTTCTCTCCTCTCCTTTTCTATCATTTTCCTCTGCAATTAATTTCATCAGCCTGCTTCCCTCTTGGATTTTTGTGAGTATATTTTTCTACCCCAATAGTTCGCTCCTGTATTTGCTGTTCCAAACAAATTTATGAAGTAGCGGGCTTGCCAATAAGCTGAAATCTACACTTAATCCCTTATGATGGTACTGAAGGGCGCTTGCAGACAATAGACTCATTCAAAGCAGCTTCTTGGCCCAGATGGATCTTTGTGTTGTTGCAAATAGAAGTCTTTACCCCTGGCTGGGGGTGGGGAGACCCCTGTGGTGGTGTTGCTCTAACTCAAACTCAGCTAACAGGAAGAATAACTTGGGGCTCATTTATAGGTAGATGAGTTACCATCATCTCCTCTTCCCTGCACAGCACCCCCCAGCCCCTGCTTTCACCCCTTTCGCTTCCTGTGAGTTTTTTCTTCTTCATAATGGCTCCATTTTTCTTACAGGTACACCAATATAAAAATGGAGGCAGGGTGGGTAATGGAGGAGGGGCGCAGGCGGTATTTACCTCAGGACCCACACATCTGGGTGTTGTCCCCCTGCGAAATCCGAAATCCTCCCGTCCAGGAAGCCCACATTCCCCTTTGCCCTAGCCAGGCCGCACCGTGAGTCTGTGACTGGGATCTGACTGTGTGGCGAGGATGTCTGCAGGACGTGACCCAGCCCTGCCAGGAAGTGAGTCTGACTTCCGGGGAAGCCTATGGTGAGGCCTGCGGGCTCCCGAGTCTCCCCCAGGGGGGCTCTGCACAGCTCAGGGGTGGAGTCTCCTGGGTCTGCTCACTCTCTCACTGTCCGGTCATCATGTCTGTTGTCACCCACTTTGTATTTTGCTAAGGCCCTGGGAAGATGGAACCGTGAGATATTGTCCTGGGCTGCCCGTAGGCACCACTGAATGTGCCTGGTGAGAGAAGGAAAATTGAAAATTGATATGAGTTGTCCTTGAAACCAAGGACTAAGCACTAAGGAAATGAGGTGCAGAACATTAAGACGGAGGAGGAGGAGCTGGTTGGCCCTGTGGCCCCTGGCACACTCATCCCTCAGTGGAGGGTGCTGCGGGACCGCGTTCAAGCCTAGAGGCAGGTGCCCTGCACACCTACGAGAAGCCACACATCCTTTTCACCTGGAGGAATTCTGGGTATCCACGCCAGTCCACAAAGCTCTGTTCTACAGAATCCCAGTGAGGGAAGAGGGGCAGATCTTAATGGATTTATTGTAGAAGCTCCTGCTGGGAGAGAATACAATGGGGCTAGAAGAATGCAAAGTTTCTTTCCTTGCTGTAAAATGTAAGCTCCATGTGAGCAGGAATTTTGCTTGGCTTGGTTTGCATTGTGTTCTTGCTCTTAAAATGTCACACAACCGGAGTATCCTTCTTGTGGGTGGGAGAATGTGTGAGTGATGGTGAACCTTCCTGGCAGAGCCGGCTGGGTGGGGCAGGGAGAGACTCTGGGAGTTTGGGGAGGGGGTGCTGCTGCACTGCTGTGTGGATGGGGCTTTGGAGAAAGATGGAGAACAGATTTTTACTGCGCAGGGAGAACAGATCCTCCATTGGTTTTTTTTTTTTTTTTTAGATCTCGGTAAAGAGTCAAAAGATCTTGACAACAATTTCTTGGCTATTGGACTGGATGAAGGGGCTTCCCAGAAGCCCTTGCAAGGCAGCTGTGGGTGAACCCAGTTCTGTAATGCCTGTTGACCAGTGGCCGGTCTCCCATCCTTCCCTGACTTAGTGGGTGCTGCAAGAACAGGGTTGACTTCGCATGTTGTGCCAGCTTCTATCTTGCCGCAGATGGATCATCCTCAGGTGGCAGCCCTGAGTGTTTGCAGTAGATGACAGGGGCAGTGGGAAGAGAGTTGGGGCCAATGTGTACATGTTAGTTGTGAGTGATGAAAACCCTGCTGGTCCTGACAGGCAAAAGGAGAATCTGCTGAATGGCTGTGGGGATCTCTCAGAGAGCCCAGAGGTAAGGCTGGGGCCTCAGAAGTCACCCTCACATTGTCTTCTCTTCCAGCTGGGTGTGCCCCTCCCTCTCCACTCCACCCCTCTCTGGCTGGAATTTCTTCTCTTAGCTTCTTTGATGTATATTGTGGGAAACGAGAGAGTAGTCTGCTTTCAATTTCCCAGGGAGCAAAGTCGATTGACCTGAAAGGTGGTCGTCATCGAAGGGCATCGCTCTGCAGCACCTGCATGGAGTGGGGGAAGGGAAGACAATCCTGAGGGCGCAGGCCCGCCAGGACTGGGTGCTGAGTACACAGAAAGGAGGCACCTACTTCCTTGTATGCACTTTCAGCACCACAGTGGAAGCCCTCGACCAGCAGGCTCTGCCTCGGGATGCCCACAGGTCATGTCCCTAGAGGAATGAGCTAATGCCGAGGGGCTGGTCTCAGTGGCTGTTTTGGATGCTTTCAATCTTGGGTTCTATTATTTTTGGTTCCTGGTGTGAGTGAATACAAATGGCCTGGAGGTGTGTCCTCCACCTGAGGACCCTGGGAAGCCAGAGAATCTCACAGATAAAAGCTTAGTGGTCTCCAACTTAAAAAAAATGAGACGATGCACATTGGTGGAGGTGGCTCTATTCTTGAGTTACTCCAGGCATGGGGGGGGGCACAAAGCTCACGCGCACTGTTGAGGAAACCCCTCTCCCTGGCAGAGCAGCTAACTCTAACCCCTGGTCATCTTCTTGCTCTCACTATCTTTCCTGGAGTCTAAAGACTTGGAGATGATCTTATCTCCTTCTGCTTAAATTCTCTACTATGTTTTGACCAACCCTGTACAGCTGGTATTGCTCTTTGTTTTAATGTGAAACTAAATTAAATTTTCTTATAAGGATTTATATATTATAAATAGATATTCTATATCATAAACAATTTTAATGCAACACAATGGTCTTCTCCTTTGTGTTGGGTTTTGGCACATGTGGTCCTGTGTCTTGCATGTTCAAGAGAAACTACTTTGCTGGTGGAAGCTTTTATACATCATGGTTCCTTTTGGACTCCTACAAGAGACAAGGGCAGAAGCTGCTAACTCTTCTCTGTTTCTCCCTTTGTTGTTATTAGTAGTAGAAGCTCAGTGTTTGCGGGACAATGGGTGCTGTGTTCAGACTGCATCTCCCAGGCTCCTTCGCCAGTGGGCGTGGCCACCTGAGTAAGCACAGGGTCTTGGGATAACAGACCCTTGCAACTTCTGTGTCGCTCCCTTTGACAGAAGCTTCTAGTTAGTTATGGCAGCTATGGTTACCTCTACTTCTGGCACTCTGGAGAGAACCTTCCGCCTCTCTCTGACCCCCAGCCCGAGTCTCTGTCGTAAGAGCCTCCTTACCTGCTGGGCTGTTTGTGGAGCTCATGAACTCTCAGAGGTATTTGCTTTCCCAGCACTGAGCAGCTGTCAGCCTTCGTGCCCGCCACATTAGAGAGCGCCCATCAATGTTTGCTACATAAGTAAAGGACCTAAGGGCCACCCTGGACAATAGCAGGCTTCTCATGTCAATTGGGCTCAACTTACAAAACCATGCATGGGTTACGAAAGCCTCACCCTCGTTTTGCTGGTCACGCAGAGCAGCTGATGGCCATTGACTGTATTTCACCACCTCTCACCCCCTCACACTTTCCACAGCAGAGAAAGTGCCCCGGCCCTCATGTTCCGCTGTCCATAAAATGCCTACTATCTACCCAACAGCAACAGCCTTTGATTTTCAGTAAATTTCTTATGATCTAGCAACGGCTAAAGCCAATTTCTGAGAATTTCATAATGACCTTGTAGGAATTCAGATTTTAAAAGAGGCTGATCATCTGTGTCCCTTTGAGCCCCGCTGGCTGGTCCGTGGCTGGAGGAGGGACCTTGTCTTGTGGACTTGTCACGACAGTCAGCTCACTTTTGGGGCATCTCTGGTGACGTGACTTTGCTCTGGACGCGGCCTGTGTGCCCCACGCCATCACCCTCTTTGAGAGCAACTCCGATGGCCCCAGACAGGGAATCCCGGGCTCCGTTTGCGTGGGCTCCGCAAGCTGTCTCAGAATACCCTCCAGCATTTTCTGTGTGTCTGGCAGGCCTATAAACATCAAGGCGGGGTGGAAAAAAGAAACCAGTTTATTGTACGTAAGTGTTACCAGGAGCCCCCTAGTCACAGTGGAAATATATTTTATTTTCCTTCCCTCATGTGATTTTTCTATAAACAGCAAAACACACTGAATCAATTTTTCAAACAAACTTGTAAAATCAGAAAATACAACGGCCACTAACAGTCAGTAGCAGGAGCTATCAGAGGCCACAAAGAGGTTTTTAACTATTGAAACATGTGGCAACGTGACAAATGAGTTCTGAGTTTTTTTCCTTCCCAACCGTTAAAAATAGCTTTTATAAACTCTTAACTCCCTCTGATGGTGAGCGCACCATTAATCACCTTTATGACATCTCATATTTAGGCCACGGATAAATCCACGGGCCCTAATCAACCACTTTCCTGAGGAAATTGGCCAAATCCCGACTGGAGGGGGAGATGAATCACAACAACTCTGCTATTCAGACAAATCTCTTTTCAAGTGCCCTTAAAGGTTTTTTTTTTTTTTTTTCTTTCCATACACCAGTGAAGACAGCCACACAGGAAACAATAATAGTTTAATCTCTTGAAAAATTTCCTTCCTGCATTGCAGTGCTTTCAGACAGGTAGTCAGAGCCAGCCAAGGAAAATTAGCAGCAGCCCCTGCCAAGAGCAGGCTGCTACTTGAACCCCAAGCTCCCTCACCTCCTCTTGCCTGTCCCAGTGCAGGGGCCTGTGTGGGGCGCGCCCCCCCAGCCAGACCCCAGCTGGCCTCAGGGGAGAGAGGGGACACGGGGGAGAGCCTTGGATGCCTCGTGCGACTAGACATTTTATTTTTTTCATGATGTTTAATCATTTCCGTAGGTTAAGTACCTGGAGATAGAATTTCTAGGGCAGGTGGTGGGCATCGTTTTAAGTTCCCTGACACATGCAGCCAAATTGCTCCTTTATAGTGGTTTTTATTGGCGTGACACAACTTATGTTTTTTTATTGAGGTCTATTCCTTTATGATACTGTATCGTTTCCGAAATCACATTTCCTTTTTTAAAATTAATTTTAATTTTGGGGAGATATTTCTAGTTTTATTTACTTTTTATTGAGGTGACATTGGTTTATAGCACTCTGTATGATTTAGGGGTACAGGCTCACACCTCCTCAGATGTGTGTCAGCACACTGCCCCCACCCCTGTGGGGATCGATGAGGAATTGTTAGAAGCTCTGCTCTTTCCCTCCCTTGGAGTTCTCACCCGCTGCGAGTTGGAGGCTGTGGGAGGTTGGAGGAATCTGGGTTTCTCAGAAAAATCCAGTTTTGACCAAGATGGCGTCCCTCCTGGCCTGGGGCTCTCACCGTCTCAGTAGTGAGCACCACGAACTACTTCTAAGCATGCTTTTCTTTTCATTAAGTCTCCAGAGACTCGAGATTTGTGGGGTGCACAGGATCTACTTTCTGTAGGTCCTCTTGCTTCTGCCTTTGTAACTCCCAGAGTGGACACCAGCCTTGCATCACCTCCAGTGATCCATGGAAGGCTTTGTTTGGTTGTCATAGATACTATTTCTTAGAGCAGAGGGTGTGGTTTCATGAAGGCCCCAGACTGTACCTGCCTCAAAGGAGCTGCTACCAACCAGCCAGTTCACTGAATGTGGGAAAAAAGAGACTCTCCCCTCGCCCCACAGGTGCCACTGCTGCCTCAGGTCTCTTGACCACCTGCCCTTGTCTGTTCTCTTGACCCCTGACTGCAGCTTGCCATTCCTCCCACCCCACCTCTGCTTCTCCTGACCGCACCATCCAGTTCTGCTGTCCCTCGGTTCCAGCTCCGCACCCAACAGTCTTTTTTTTTTTTTGCCTCTTGGCATGGCAATTTCATGAACAACTCACAGTGCCTGGAGGAAATTACTTGTGTTTCTCTCCCCTTCCCATGTTTGTGAATAATATGAAAACAAAATAAGCCCTCTTAGTGTAGAGGACATCGCCTACCCTCTTGAGGAGACAGGGGTAAAAGGATTCACTGGCTAAACCTCTGATTGAAATAAAAGAAAGAGAACAAATAAAAATAGCCCCTCAAGGCCATGCACCATGTCTCAGATTTCTCCAGATCTATTTTTACACAATTTCTAGCCAAGCAGAAAATACATGAAATGGGCCTTAATGGTTTTCATCTTTTCTTCTTCATTATCAAGTAAGTCTTGTGATACTTGCTTAGACCATGCCTTAGCCAGCCAGGAGCCTCTTCTCAGTGGTCCAAGTAAGAAAATCAGCCATATCCACATGGTGGCTGTAGAGGGGACACAACCTGTGTTGTTGGAACGTCACAACCAGACACCTTAAGGTGTTCATCCTAGTGGGCCTACATGGTGGTGCAGGGGTTAAGTCTCAGCACTATAAGTTATCAGCAGCCACTGCAGCATGAGTTTGATCCCTGGCCAGGGAGCTGGCCCACAAGGCGCAGCAGATCTCTCCGGTCTCCCCGCTAGTCCCCTCAGCAGTGTATTTCAGTAGATCCACCTGCCCTGCTCCCCATTCTGTCTCTGGTGAATCCTCTCACCCCCCGCACCTCCAGCCTACACCCCAGTTCTTATATGCATAAATAAATACAATCTTGAGAAAAGAAGATGTTCATCACAGTGTACTTTATAATAAATTCTTCATGAGTTCTCTCTAGCAATAAGAAAACGCTTAAGCCAGTGTTAGTACTGCCACAGGACAGACGCCTGTCAGTTATGAAATGTGCTTTTAAAGACAATTAAATTAATGGGGCTATGCCTGTAATACATTAAGTGAAAAAATAGACAATTTATACTATTTGATTCCAATTTAGGTTTGCTTATTATAGAAAAATCATTGTTTCTGGTAAATGGAATCATGAGTGATTTTAATTTCCTTTTTAAAACTTTTCATAACTTCTAAAATGTTTTCAGTCTGGAAAAGTCTTATAATTCAAAATCCACAGATGTTATTTCTGATTATATCTTTTTTTTTTTAGAACCTATCGTCCCTCCTGAATTTTCTTCTTTTTTCACACCTCTGTCCATGGAATTCTGTGTAATTCTTTCTTGTCTTTTTAAGGGTGTTTTCAAATCTATTTTCCTGCTTGGCTATAAAACTCCAAGATGATGCAGCAATTGTCTTTTGGATTCCTGTGGCCTCTTCTTTCCTGGGTAGTTTATTTTGGCTTGTCAGACCTGGGCCTGGGTAGGCCTGCATATTCCCCGGGTTTAGCCCTCCCTCGCTTAAAACGGGGCACGTTCTGAGCAATGCAGGCTTAGGCGACGTCGCTGTCGGGGGAATGACAGAGAGGGCCTCCTCCCGCCTGGCTGCACAGCACAGCCTCCTGGGACCACTGTCCCAGACTTGGTTTGTCCTTGACCAAGTGTCGTTAGGAGAGCCCCGCCTGTGAGTGGGAGTTGACATGCCACCAAGGCAGTGGGGGGCGTCTGAGCTGCGCTGCTGTCTCAAGTGTCTGCAGGCAGGTTCCCGGCTCTACTCCAAGCAGAATCAGGTGGACTCCCCATGTGCTCCCCTGGTCTGGGGCTCACTGACGTGCTCTGGCAGGACATCCCTTCTGCTCGTTTTCTCTTGGCCACAGTCAAATGCCCTTTATGCTGCTTAGAGTCTTATGATGGGTTCTCAGTGGATTCCTCCTGCAGGTCCCAGACCCTGTCCCTGTCCCCAGGACATGTGAGGTCCAGTCTCCTCTGCTCCTCTCTCCCCACACACAGCTTTGCTCTCACTTTCACCACTTGCTAGGAAGTTGGCTCCATCTCCCTCCTTGAAGTCAGAATCACTCCTGGCGACCTCTCCCACCCGCTGTAACACGACATGTCATTTCCGTAGGCCTTCAGGGTCACGATGTGAATGGAATCATATTAGCTTTAATTTCAGCGTCCTAGACTGTAGGATCGCTTTACTTTTAAGTGCTGCTAAGTTCTGACAATACTTTCGATGTCTTTTTTTAATCCTTGCTTGAGTTTCTAGGTGTCGTTCTATTTGCTTCTCTAACGCTGTCAGGCCGCGTGTGCATATGCACACCCGCACATCATGTCTGACGGAGCTGCGTGTATTGCTTTACTTGGGAAGTTTTCTCAGTTTTTATTTGAAAACTCTTAGAAGGAAGAAGGACAAGGGAGCTAAAGGGAGAGAAAGAGGGAGGTGAATGGAATGATCGTTTCTGTATTTTGTCTTTAAAATCCGTGTGCTATATATTTTCAGTGAACACTGCAGTGGGTCTTAATTAAACCCTGTATTTTTCCAGTAGTTTAGATACCAGGGAGAGGATAAATACTTAGCGATACCAACTGGTCAGGAAAATGTTACGTTGACTTACACATCCTAAAGCGACGTTGGCTTCACGGTGTTATCCTAAAGCTTTCTCTGGTTAGTAACCCTACCCAGAGTCCCCATTACTATGCTTTTGGCAAAGTCAAGATATTTAAGAGACATTTTTAAGGGAACATTGAGTTTTATCTTCTGGGCCAGTGAAAGACCATGAATGTGCAGAATTTGGTGTTTGATAGTTCCCTACTACACATAATTAAAAAGGAATGTCTTAAAAGACTGACTGATGAACCAAAATAAAATGCAGACTAAACAGGACTTAATTGAATGGCAAGGAAGGCAGCCGTCAGGCCTGACAGGCATCTCGGTCTCATTCCCACCGCTCTTCTTGGATGCCTGTGACGGGAGTCAGCTAAGCCTGATTTGCTTGACTTCACTTCATGAAAGTTTTGTGCCCTAATAAACAAATAAGGTGTGGTGGGAACCAGACCGAGACCCAGCCTGGCCAGCCCAGCCTGAGCCTTCAGAAACAGGCTTGTCGACAATCAACCTGGCCCAGGTCAGGGCCTGGACAGGGTGTCGGTGCTTCTCTTCCTTCAGGCCAAAGTGCAGGGGAGCTGAGGGAGACAAACACACCACTGGCACTCCCCCCCGAACTACCTCTTTTGTTTAGTTGTTGAAGGAACAACTTGTGCTCTCGAAAGCACCAGAAATCACAGTGAGATTTCTGACCCCAGAGATGAGGTGGTGTCAGCTCTCTGTATGGTTTGAGGTGAAGGAGAGAGGGCAGTGTGCCACACTGGGTGGAGGTCAGGACCACATTCTTCTGGTGCCTTCTCTCCTTTGCCTCACCCAGCCCAGACTTCTGTGATCTTCCCCACAGCATCTTCATCAAGATGTTCAATTTTTTCCTGGTCATACACAAGACCACATTCCTGGCCTCCTCATTCTTTGTCCAGTGGCTGTGGCTAAGGAGAACCCCAAGGCTGAGACCCTGGTGGAATCACCAGGAGGAAGGGACTTGGGCGCCTGAATCACCCTGTGAAAGTCACCACTGACTGTCTGGGGAGACTGATAGGTACGAGTGATACACTGCCCTTCATCAGGTCAAGCTACTGAGGTAGAGCTGTTGTGGACAGTGCCTCTGTGTATGTAGGAGTAGATACATTTTTTCCTATTAGCATTTTCATATGCTGTGGATAAATAGGGGTACTGCTAATAGGGGTACTGCTGACATACAAATTTACATTTTCATTTTCTTAAGAAATCACCATACTGTTTTCCATAGGGAATACTATACAGCTGGGAAAAAGATGAAATACTACCATATGGTACAAAATGAATGAACCTTTATTATGTTAAATGAAATATATCAAAAAGTGAAAGACAGCTATCAGATGATTTCACTCACTTGTGAAATATAACCAAAAAATACACACAAGCAAAATACAGTAATAATAATCTCAAATTCAGTGAAAAAATATAGTGATTGCCAGAGGGAAGAGCAGGGTAGGATGAGGGGCTGTGGAAGGGAGGCAGAGGACATTGGGCTCAGGTGGTTTGGTGGAGGGTGAGTTGAACATGTGCACACACAGAAGAGCAAAAATGTAACCCCCAAAATTGAAATAAAATTTAAAAAAAGGGAAAAAATAGACTCATAAAGATGAAAGAAAAGTAGTATTTGGAGTCTGGGTCCAAGATCAGCAACTTTCCAGCTGAGTGATCTTGGGCCAGTTAGTCTCTCTGGGCTTTGTAAATAGCAAATAATCATAACACTTCTCTTAAAATGTTTCTTCATTTGTAAATTGGAAATATTCCTAGTATGTTGTGGATAAATAGGGTTAAAAGAAGTGAGTGAGTTAATACATTTAGAATAACATCCCTCCTCCCTTCCTAAGCCTCTGCTCTACCTTCTTCTCCCCCTTACTTCCTCCTCTCTTCCTCTTCTTCTCTTCTCATCATTATTAGAGAACATTGTTTAGTGCCTTGTTGTGGGAAATAGCCATATATTTCAAAGAGGTTTTATGCATGATGACATTGGACTTCCATCCCAGGAACCCCCGGGGATTTAGCTCAGACTGTGGCTATTTCGTCATCAGCAGGAAAGACCTGGTTAGCGCTGAGATGAAGCTGTGCACCGTTTGTACCAAGTTGCTTTCTTGTATCTTTTTATTCATAGATATTTTTGAGCCAAACTGAATGTTTCTGAAGGCTGTTTACTCACAAGGAGCGCAAGAGAG